CCTCTTCCCCGAGCCGCCAGCTTGGGGCAGGCGGGGGAATTCTGGGAGTTGAAGTCCACACATCTTAAAGTTGCCGAGGTTGAGAAACATGGATCTAGTCCAACTGCGTCTTGAGTCAAACACTGGAATGGGTAGAAACGCCACCACCTACTTGCTCCTCGTAGGAGTTGATGATCACCAGGTGGGCGTCGCGGCTCTCGCACTCGGCTTTGGCTTCCTGCCACGGCTTCCCCACCCGGGACTCCCAGTAGCAGCTTTTCCGAAACGCATCCCAGCCCTTCGGACAGCAAGCCTCCACTCGGTCTGGGAAGGTAGAAAACGGGCCAGGATGAGAGGAGGAGACGGCTTCGGCCATGCCGGACTATGACTCCCATCGCCCCCAGCCAGCACCTCCTCTCCTTCCTCTGGAGAGAAGCCCGGGATGAATCGGCGGGCGTTTGCTAGGACTTGGGAAGGGCGTCAAGAATGGTTTGCTGTGCTGTTTTGGGGGAGCATTGATGGAATGTGGGGTTTAGCTATTTCGTTATGAATTTGCAAACTGCCCAGAGTTCCATGGCATATACGTTTAATAAAGTATTATTATATTCATTCAGTTTATACGGCCGCCCACCTCAAACACATGACTCTGGGTGGCTAACAGAGAATAAAGACTGTTTCTCAACCTTAACAACTTTAAGATAGGTGGACTACAACCCCAAAAATTCCCCAGCCAGAAAGGCTGGCTGGGGAATTCTGGGAGTTGAAGTCCACCTATCTTAAAGTTGCTAAGGCTGAGAAATACTGCAGTAGAAAGAGACGGGCAGTGCCTTAAGCTGTTTGCACTGCACTCCTGTCCAAGGAAACAATGGGCCCAGCGTCCCCAAAGATGAAAAGGACGCCTCTTCCCATCCCCTGCAATTAACATCTGGAATTCGTCTCAAAGAGCCCTCTCCAGAAGAACCATCAGCCGCTGGGGACCAAGGGAGCGGATCTTCCCATCATGCACTGGTCCTGAGCATCTCCACCACCCGAAGCCCTGCCAGGAAACCCATCGGGGCAGCCCGATGCCGAACGCCGGAAGAGCGTCCGCTCCTCTGGGCGTGGGACGGCGCCCGGAAAAGGCCGGAATCCGAGGCATGGGCAAGGGAGGCCGGAGACACCAACGAAGGAGACGGAGGAGAAGCCCGGATTGGCTTCTCCTCCAGGTCTGCGCCAGGCCTCATTCTTGGCATTCCAGGGCTTCACACGCCCAGCGGGCGAACCTGTTCGATTGTGCTTAAAATCCTCAAAGTCGCAATTCAGCCTTATGTGACTCTTCTGCAGCTCTTTCATCTGGTTTAGGAGGTGTTCTCTGGCTGTGAAAGTGAGCGAGAGCGAGAGAGAGAGAGAGAGAGGGCCTATTTTAAAAATAAAACTATTTTAACGTGTTTTGAAAGACAGGCGCTTTCCGAAGCTAGGTATGAAAGCCCTGGGAGGGAACTTCACCCCAGCTTCACCGCTCCTTCCAGCCAGAATTCCAGCGTGTGGCTGGGCTGGAGTTTTAAGCAGCCTCTGATTTTTTCGTCCCGTCAAGTTTGCGGTTTTCCCACAGCAGCAAGAAGGCAAAGCGTTAGCCATCATCGGAGCAGTCCGTGGCGAAACACATAAAAAACGTGGGCAGGCCAGCTCTGTTCCAGAGAAGGGTTCTGCGTGGAGTCAGGCCGGGATGTCCACCGAGCGCGGCCCCAAAAATAAGGATGCCGGCCACAGTGGTGCATCTTATTTCTAGATAGCAGGGCTGATTTCGAGAGAACGAGGATGCAAACTTCCCCAGAGATGGCAGAGAAACGTTTACAATTCACAGCCTGGACTTTGCAGGCCTGGGCAACCATCTCCTCCAGGAAGGGACTGGCTGTCAGAGGTCAAATAAGACCCTTTCTCTCATCTTTTAGGGCTTCCCCACCCCTCCAAATGGATTGAGGTCCCTATTAATCTATTCCCCCTTCCTTATTTTCCTCTTTGAGGCCCCCCAAATCTGCAAAAGAAGTGGATCGTTTAAGGAAGGCTCTGTTGCACTTCCAGACTGATCAGCCTAAAGCAGTGTTTCTCAACCTCAGCAACTTTATTATGGGATTACAGTCCTCCTACAGGAAAGAACCCCAATTTAGGACCTGCTGTAGAATATGAACTTCCAGTGTTTCTCAACCTCAGCAACTTTATTATGGGATTACAGTCCTCCTACAGGAAAGAACCCCAATTTAGGACCTGCTGTAGAATATGAACTTCCAGTGTTTCTCAACCTCAGCAACTTTATTATGGGATTACAGTCCTCCTACAGGAAAGAACCCCAATTTAGGACCTGCTGTAGAATATGAACTTCCAGTGTTTCTCAACCTCAGCAACTTTATTATGGGATTACAGTCCTCCTACAGGAAAGAACCCCAATTTAGGACCTGCTGTAGAATATGAACTTCCAGTGTTTCTCAACCTCAGCAACCTTAAGATATGTTGAATTCAACTCC